CCGCCACTGCCCCGATTGCATAGGCACACTTATCAAATCTCGTAAATATTGTGTCTTATTTACTTTATGTTTCACTGCACACATATCCTAATTTCACAATAATAAGGAGATATAGACTCATCTTTCAATTATAAAGAGGTAAAATTATAAATGCGAAAGAAGAAAAAAAAACATGATATCATCTGCCACATGGATAAGTTTCATCTTCTTTGAAATAAATAAAAAATTTGGTCTCTCTCCAAAATATAGTTTTATTTGTTTTCCTCAAGAAAACAAAATGATAAATATATGAATAAATTTTTTGATAAAGCCTTTTATTTGCCTATCATCATAGACAAGTGTGACCACGATAAGAACAAGTTACAATACATTAAATAAGAAAGCCTTCTTTGTTGCCGAAGGCATGTTTCTATCCCAAATGTGCAAGTTATTAAAACTAAAATTGTTTTTGGATGAGAAAAAAATAAGGGAATATTTTTGCTCACAACTCTTAAGTGATGGTGATTCTCACCACCCTATTTATTACTGTTAAATGAGTTTAAATTTCGAGATATATACCATGAATAGACAGAAAATTAAATGAGTTTAAATTTCGAGATATATATTGTGAATAGAAAGAAAACTAAAAGTTAAATGCATCAAATGATGATAAATAGGATAATATTATCACCATCTAAGAGTGGCGAGCAAAAATGCACCAAAAAAATAAATCAATTTTATTTTTTAACAAACGATATTATTTACACTAACTGAGTGAGAGTGTGGACTATCAATAATATAATTCAAACTTGTTTTAACCAGAATTGAACTTAAAATTTTTTTATTTACTAATGAAGAGAAATATCATTAAATCATAATATTAAATCAAAATAAACCCAACATTTTTAACATTACAGAACAACAGTCAGAAAATTCGCAGGTTTTCCAAGAAAACAAATAGAATCTCCCCCAAAGAGCAAAAAATAATAGTAAAGAAAGAAGGAACAGCCCTCTCTCGCACTGTCACTTGCAGAAACAAAGAAAAGCATCTTCTCAGAAAACAATGCCACGGCAACACCTCTCTCTCTCTCTCTCTCTCTCTCTCTCTCTCTCTCCGTCTCTGTTACTCGTGACCTGACTCGGTAATCCAAAACTCACCGCCATGGACGATTCCTTCCGCAAAAGACAGAGCTCCTATCGAAGATCATGGTGTTGCTCGCTGACAGTCCCGCCTTCAAGCCCAGAAGCCTTCGCAAACCCTAAGCACTCCAAACCCCTTCACAGCAACAGCAAAAAATCCAGCACTTTGTCCAAACACACCTCCATCTCCGTCCCCAACTCGCCTCAGAGCTCCAAATCTGGATTGGGCTTGGTGGGTCGGATAGACCCTCGTCGGATCTTGTCCCCGGGTCGAGTCTCCCCAATTGATTCCAGTCCGCTTCCGGGTTCGATCCAAGAACCCGGCCCCGTTCCATCTCCAGCCGTCGGGGCTACGACCCATTTGAAACCCGAGAGTATTCGGACGCCGAGCCAGAGGGTCCGGCCTGGTTGTGGGAGCAATGTGTTCGACGTGAGGTTGAATTTGAGGGGGAAAAGAGGTGGGGGTTTGATATTGGAGATGAATTCGGAGGTTTTGAGTGCGAATTCGGAGTTATTTTCGGGTTTAATCAGGGATTATAGAAAGGGTGTGGTGGGAAGTGGTTCAAAAATGTGTAGAATAGAGGTGCCAGAAGTTGAGAATTTGACAGTTTTCAGAGAAACCATTGAACTTATGTTTGATGACGATGATGATGTCACGAAGCGCCTCTCCAGGATGGGAGTATATAAGGTTATTGATGTGCTTGAGGTTAGTGCTTTGCTCCCTTATGTATTTTCTGTTTTCTTGGCATATCGATTAACTTTCGAGTTTTTAAATTCAGATTTTTTTTGGAATTGCTCATTTGATTTCTCTCTGAATTCGTTGGCGTAATTTTGTAATAAAAGGGAAGGAGTAACATTGATTAAAACCAGTTAGAAAACACTGGATAGTTTAAGGTTGACGGACATTGATAAAACCACAATTTCATCAGTTTGTGGAAACTTTGTTACTATTTATGGAGTATGTTTATAATATAAGTATGCATTGTTTTGAATCAAATGTTTACTAGGCATCAGCAGGCATCATATTCACAAAAGGTGTCTTGTCCTGTTTAACATACCTTGAGGCTGTTCCTTGGACTGAGGAAGAAGAGGAGAAACTTAGGAGCCTGCTTACAAGGTTTAAGTTTGATGATGCAACGACTAAGGACATCTTGGCCAGACTTTACTTGCTCGACTCTTCTGCGGATTCTCAACAAAGTTTAGCCAGACAGCTTGTTTGGTCTATCACCACTTGTACAGATGTCAACGCAAGGAATGAGCTAAAGTTGCTCGTGAAGGGTCTGCTATGCAGAAGTTCGGTGTATGACAAGGACCATCATGACCTCAATAAGGATGATATCTATGATGTCTGTCGATCCTGTCTCACTTCACTTGTTACCCTCTTTAATGAGGCCTCTGAGCGTGACGGCATTTCTCATGAGAGACCTGTTAAGGAGACAGGTAAGCCCATGATTGAACGCATCTCAAGGCAGGTTGATAATATCAACTGGCTGATAGATATCCTGCTTGATTGGCAAATCGCTGAGGAATTTGTGGATATATGGGGCAATCAGCGAGAACTGCTTCAAATGCATGGCCAAACATCTCCAATGGTTAGGTACGAGTTGAGTCGTGTATCAGCAATTTTACTTGTTGCAATGGGGACCAGAAAACTGCATTGCGGTTCAAATTCAAGATCAGGACTTCTCGAGGCGTGGTTTGGTCCAATGCTCTTGGACTTTGGTTGGCTGAAAAGGTGCCAAAAAGGGCTTGACATGAAGGGTTTGGAGGAAGCTATGGGTCAGACACTCCTTACACTACCCTTGAAGCAGCAGTACATTCTGTTTACAGAATGGTTTCAATATTTCTCGAAGCACAGCACTGACTGTCCTAACCTCAGCAAAGCCTTCCAGATTTGGTGGCGTCGGTCATTCCTTAGAGGTTGTGAAACTTATGCTATTGAATCCAGGTAACTAGTAGACCTTCAGTTTCCAGTACTCTTGCAATATGGCAGTAGTGTAGATGAAGAGATTATGAAGCATGAAGAAATGAATAATGTAAATCAACTATGTAGATTGTTTTTTGTAATAGCTCTTGGAGCATGAAATGGTATCAGAATATTTTACTTTATTAGTTTCTTATACCCATGAATAAAAAACCTGCTTTGCAAGCTCGAACTGAAACTGTCAAACATGAAAAGAAAAAGAAATATGAGAAAGAAGAAAAGAAAGATGGTGCGGATAGGACCTATTGTTAATGCTTCACAATGCCTGAAGCAGAGTACTAAAGGTAACTTAGCAGGAAACTTTGAAGTTAAGGTGTAAAACCCTATTGGCTTCTAGGCTGTGTTTTGGTCTACTATTTCTTCCATCATCAACACCCATAACCATATCGTGTTCTCCTCTCTCCACCTATGACAAACCAAGGCCTGCACCAGCTTACCACCACAACTGGGGCAACACCAATTCCATTCGTGCCCCTCTCCAACCTGCTCATTTATGTGTCGGTTTATTTGCTAATACTAACCCAAAAATTACCTAAAGAATTGTCGAGGAGTTCGTTTTGGAGGGTATAAAAGTTTCAAAGGGAGACAAAACTGCGAGTTTGGCGCAGTAGACTGAAAAGTGACGAAGATGCGGATTGTGTTCAGAAATAGTCAAGGTTAGGATTGTTGTTGTTCAATTGTTTTTGCAATATGTGAGATTTTATGGCTTTTTATTTTGGGTTAATCTCAGTTTACTACTCTGAAGTTTCTTGTTTTTCAACATTTGGTACATGAATTTTTTTTCATTCCAGTCTGGTACATAAAGTCATAATTTTAGGACACTTTCATACATCTGTGAAGTTTTCTGTCAGAACCTCCGTTAATTGATGATGTGGCACCCACGTGAACAATGACTAAATGTCACGTGTCAATATGAGCTCACGTGGATATTAAAAAATTAAAAATTAAATAATAAAAGTTAAAAAAAATCTCAAACTTCCCCCTCCCTCTTCGACTCCTCTCATCTGATCCATCCCACTCCTCCCTCTTAACATCCCCAACCCACCTCCTCCCTCTCCTCCACCCTCTCCACCTCCCCTCCCTTCTTTCTCCCAAGATCGACCCATGCGAACCATCTATTTGTTCTGCGATCCTAAAATTCTCCATCGAAGCCCTAATTTCAGTTACCTTTCGATCTCCGCAGCATCTGCATCTCACCTGCAAACGGATAAGAGGAGATGGTTGGGAGAGATCGATGGTGGTTGATGGAGAATCAGACGAACGAAGATGGAGAAGACGAGGTGTAGAGGTGACAGTGCTCGCTCCTTCGGTTGGGTTCGCGTGGGTTGATCTGGGAAGAGGAATTAAAATATTATTTTTTTTTTCCTTTGTCTTCCTTTCTTCCTCTGTCTCTGTGTCTCTTTCCCTCCTTCTTTTGAGAGAAAACCAGCAGCCATCGATCTTCCCCCACTGATCCAACCCCGTAGGCTGCCGGAAATGGGTTCCTAAATGGATTTTTGCTCGACAAATTCCTCAAAAATCAAAGACACGGGGGCTGCCGGAAATGGGTTCCCAATTCGGTTGATCAATCTTCCCCCACCAATCCAACCCCATGGCTCTCCACCGCTGTCAAATCAAGTAGATGGGGGTCAGAGGTTCGAGCTCATGAAGGCTGTTGAAGAGAAGATGAGGGTTGAGTGGGTGGGTGGATGGGTGGAGTCGAAGATGGACGGGGAAGGGTGGATGTATGACGAGTCGAAGAAGAGAGGAGAGGAGGGTTTGGTTGGTTGGTGCAGATGAGAGAATGGAGGGATAAGGGAGGAAGGGAAGGTCGGGGGAGGTAGAAGACGACCAAAAAACATGTTTTTTTTTAATTTTTAATTTCCATGTTGACCCTTTAATGTCATGTGGCGCATAATCATTGTTCACATGGACGCTACATTATCAGTTAACGGAAGATTTAATAACCAGACTAATGGATGTATGAAACTATCCCAAAATTAACACTTTAGGTATGACTTTAGAACGAAAAAAACTTTATGTATCAAATGTTAAAAACCACGAAACTTGATGATAGGAAACTAAGATTTACCCTTTTATTTTTGTAGTTTACTAGTTCCAATGAATCAAAGGTTAGAAATACTTTTGTTTGGGTTTTGATGTTGGTTTGTTAGGACTTGTTTTTTTTTTTTTGGTAAAATTCTGATAATAAGCCACTGTTCTTTTGAGGCAAATCATCCAAGGTCCCAAAACAGATTCCTTAACAGAACCATCAACACTAGTATTGCAAACGTTAGTATCAGAATTAACAGTACAACCATCACTTGCACCAATCTCCTTTCCACCAATATCAACATTCATACCAGTTACATCACTGGAAACACCACCAACCACCTCATTAGTGACAATACAACAATCTCTTCTATGACAATACACTCCACATTTGAAGCAAATATCAGGAAGACCCTCATACTCTAAGTTGAACCATGCACCATTCAATTGCACATAAGCCTCCAAATGTTTAGTTAGATCCAATTCAACACAAATTCGAGCAAATTTTCCTCTAGCCCGAGCCAAGGTCAGTGCATCAATTTTCAAAGCTTTACCAAGAAAAGAACCAATTCGTTTCAGAGCACAAACATCAAGAAATTCAGCTTGAATTCCTAAAATTCTAACCCAAACAGCAGTCCTAGTAATTTTGGAAGAACTAGCATCAAACCCAGGTTTCCATTTATGAATTACATGGTACTGACCCGAAATAACCCAAGGTCCTCCAGCAAGAACAAATTCCAAATCCTCCTTCTTCTCAAAAGTTGCAACAAAATAGCCATTAATTAAAGGGAACTTTAACGAAAAGCATCTGGTACTGTTCACTTTAACGAAAAACCACATTTTTACACTAAAAAATCAATCCTGGTACTATTCACTTTACCCTTTATTTTGTCCTTATCATTAAAACTTAAAGTTTTCAACCCTTTTTTATTAGTTTTCTTTAATTAAATCTACAAGCTTAAAACCAACATTCGGACCCCGTTTTCCTTTTAGACGATTATACAAAACAGCAATTGAGAAAGGCTTACCCAACAACTTGACAATTAACGACTTCTCCCAGGGCTCGCACATCTTCTTCATTGCTCATTCAGAAAATTGAAAGCTAGGGCCACGTTCACCCCTTGTAACTGCACAATCCAACTCATCATCAAGATCGCACTTGAAATTATCCAAATCCAGAGCATGTAATCCATTCTGAACATTCACAAGTTTGTCTCTTCAACTCAATTTGACACCGTCGGCGGCCATCACTGGCCTGGTGGTCTCCATCGCAGCTTGTTGATCATCAATTACAAACAGTTGCAATCTCAGGCTCAACACGATTTCGTTTCAAAACCCTCGAATCAGTGGCGGTCCGGAGACTGCCAATCCACCACTACCGTCCGCCAGATCCACCTTGCCGCTAAAAAGCACAAAACAAAACTCACCCGGAGAAAGAAAAAGGAAGAAACCGACAAGGCACGTGAGGCGCGTTCAAATTTCACAGAAAGTTTTTCAATTTACTATTAGGACTTGTTTTAATTTCAGTTTCAACCAAGGTTAAGGTTTTGATTTTGTTCTCGTTAAGAAATTGATTAACAAGGAATATAGTGCCTTGGAATGTGTGTTGTTATCTTCTTGTTAAGAGATTGTATTGGTGTACCCAGCTTCACTTGAAGACATTGTTCATCATATTTTGGTTATTTTATTTGAGAAAACACAGAAAATGGGCTTTTGTGGGTTGAGTGGTATTATCTACACATCTCTTTTTTCCTTCTACACACGGAGAATGATAGAAATTGACAGTGTGTAGAAGGTAAAAAGAGATTGTAGACATCGAAATTTCGGTAAATAAATGTTGACCGATAAATCAAAGTGTCAACGCTCATGTATTACATAAATTTTACATGTAGCGCGTGACTCAACGAAAATTGAAATGAGTTGGAAAAGTCATCAAATAGGACACGTGTCAACACCTGGCAGAAACGACTTATTTCATCTGGGATATTATATTCAAAATTAGGCCTTGGAAAATTCTATAAATACAAGCCCATTTCATTCATTTGGGGGAACCAATTCATATTACACCTTGAAGCTCTGAAGCTCTGAAACTCCAAAGCTCTCAAGCATCCAGGTTCCCGAAGAATCAAGAAAGCCTTCTTCGTTCTTCATTCATCGTTCTTCCAAGATCAAGCCCCAACGGCCATTTGGATCAACAATCATCCACCAATTCAAGATCAAGCCCCGACGGCCCTTGAAGAAAGCACCATCGTTCATCATCCGTTCATTCAAGATCAAGCCCCGACGACCCTTGAAGAAAGCACCATCGTTCATCATCCGTTCATCCAAGATCAAGCCCAACGACCCTTTGGATCAACAACGTCGGCGAATCCGCACACATCCAACCGTTCTTCAAGATCAAGCCCAAAAGCCCTTGAAGATCTGTTCATCACTGTTTCTTCAAGATCAAGCCCAAAAGCCCTTGAAGATCCACTCATCACTGTTATTCAAGATCAAGCCTCAAACGGCCCTTGAAGAAACATTCATCCTCAAGATCAAGCCCCAACGGCTCCTTGAAGATCCGCTCAAATCCACCTTCAAAGATCAAGTCCACGGCCCTTTGAAGAAACTTCCAACAGTTCATCCAATATCAAGCCTCGACGGCCCTTGGATCAACGAAACATCCACAAATCAACACCTTACGGAGATCGAATCAGAGGATCAAAATAGAGTGAGATTGTAACCCAAAACCATCAAAAACACAAATATTTGTTTGTGCACGTCGTTTCTTGTCTCTTTCGTTTCAGGAATTTTCCGTGTTCACAAATTGGCACGCCCGGTGGGATAATCTCTACCTCTCATCTCTTTCTCCGTTCAAGGAATCCAAGCACACCTCAAAGTCAATGGCATCAAGCAAGGGACAAGCCATTCTCGCAACCACTGAGGGAAGGATCCTAAGCACTTCTGCCGCAAACGGACAATCCATTGGCGCCACAACCGCTCCTCAACATGCCACTTCAAAATTGGTGCCGCTAAAAGAGTAAGGGGAGCATCCAAGGTGTGAGTCTGTCATCAACCTGACCTCGCTGGGGGCACCGAAGCATGATGCTGAGGCACATAAGATGACATCCCAAAGCAGCCAACGACGTTCTTCATCAGCATCCTGGATGTCTAAAGGAAAGTCACGTCTATTGGTCGCACAAGTCATGACTATCGGCGTTACCTCCGTTGAAGAACAACTGGCTCAGATGAATGAAGCAATCGCAAGGCTAACCCGAACTGTGGAAGAAAAAGACTTGCAAATCGCTGCACTCGTCAGCCGACTGGAGCCACAGGACGACGAGAACCCTAACCCAGAAGATGAGCCTCAGGTGGAGAAAAACGATGCGAAGCCCGAGCCAGACCAAGCAACGGCACTCATGGGATCTCTTTCTATCCAGCAGCTGCAAGAGATGATCACCAACACCATCAAGGCACAGTACGAAGGGAGCTCAAATACCTCCGGGTTGTACTCAAAGCCGTATTCAAAGAAGATCGACGCCTTAAAGATGCCGAGGGGTTATCAACCACCAAAGTTCATGCAATTTGATGGAAAGGGAAACCCGAAACAGCACGTTGCCCACTTCGTTGAAACTTGCAACAACGCAGGAACCGAAGGGGATTACCTCGCCAAGCAGTTTTTGTGCGCTCGCTGAAAGGAAACGCCTTTGAGTGGTACACGGATCTGGAGCCTGAGTCCATCAACAGTTGGGAGCAATTGGAGCGGGAATTCCTCAATCGCTTCTACAGCACCCGCGCGCACTGTGAGCATGCTAGAGCTAACAAGCACAAAGCAGTGGAAGGACGAGCCAGTCATGGACTACATCAACCGATGGCGTAATCTAAGCCTCGACTGTAAGGACAGACTCTCCGAGATTTCTTCAATCGAGATGTGCATCCAAGGCATGCAATGGGGGTTTGCAATACATCCTTCAAGGCATTAAAACCGCGGACCTTCGAGGAGAATTGGCCACCCGCGCCCCATGACATGGAGTTTGAGCATCGCCCATCATGGGAAGAAGAAACCGATCGCCGACTACAAGAACGACAAAGATCTTGAGACAAAGGTGGAGAAGGTTACGGGGAAATCCCCCAAGGAAGCAATGACGGTCAACACAGCTCCCATCAAAATCTCCACACGAGGCAAGGCGATTCAGACCAAAGCTTTTCGTGATCAAGAGATGCGTAGACGCACTTTGAAGGAGCTTGAGGAAAAGATTTATCCATTCCCCGACTCTGATGTAGTTGCCATGCTGGATGACTTGTTGGACAAGAAGGTGATCAGTTTGCCTGAGTGCAGACGGCCGGAAGAGATGAATCGTACCGACAACCCAAGATACTGTAAATTCCACCGCTTCATCAGTCATCCAACGGAAAAGTGCTTCGTACTGAAAAGATCTCATCCTGAAGCTAGCACAGCAAGGGGAAATCGAGCTTGACCTCGAAGACACGGTTGCGGCACACACTACTACTACTATCGTGTTTGAATCACTCGATCCTGTGCATCTCCGAAGCATGCATGACCATTCCCGTCAATGTTCAAGTCACATGGCACCTCCTACACAACCATCACAGGGGGCAAGCAACCAAGATGCATCTACTGGTGATAAGAAAGGGTGGACATCGGTGACCTACGAAAAAACGAGGAAGCCAAGACCACAAGCCACAAGGCCAAAAGAGGAGCCTAAACCCGCCCATCATTGACTTCAACTTCAGTCTTCGAAAGGCTGAATTATTCAAAACCTAGAATTGCAGCACTTGATCGCATCAGTGGTCGAGACCAAAATTCCGTCTTCAAAAGGCTTGAGACGCCAACCAACACCGCAAAGATCAGTCTTTGAAAGGTTATCAAAACCCAAAGAAACAAAGCGGCACAGCTAGATCTCCTCCGCAACGGTCGGCTTTGGACAGACTTGAAGAAACTAAGAAGCCTTCTAGAAACAGGAAGACAACGCCAAAGGGAGAGAAGCTCGATAGTCTAGCAGGAAAAGACAATGTTCAAAGCTTGATTCCTTCAAGGATGAAGCGCCAAGCAACTTTGGAAGTCGACATAAAAGGACCACTGAAGGTAAGGAGGCGCACCATCATCTACACCGGCCAATCTTCACGGCAACAAACCCAAGAGGACCGCACTGAAGAGAAGGCCCGAGAAGACAAAGAAGACGAAATCCTGGAAGAAGACGTCACTTCCGGCTCTGTCAACTCAAAATCTTCACCTCAATCGCTGGGGGCATGCTCCAAAAACATGCCAGTCAAGCCGAGTGAAGTTGAAGGATGGACTTATGTCACTCCGAAGAAATTGCACAAGAAGCATATGTCTTCTCCACAAGCTCACCAATGGGAAATGGGGCAAAACAGCTCCTGTTCACGTCTAGAACAATGTGAAAGTGTTGGAGATAATGAAACTTTGACACGAAGATCATCCATCCCCATCACGATGCGTGACATCTTCCCAGAAGACTTCTTCAACTACTCAGTCAAGGCTCCTTGCTACGAAGATTGCGAGGAACGACTCTCTCAGATCGCTTGACGAACAAAAGCTCCTTGTCTGCAACAAGAGCCTAAAACTGCAAGACACAAGGTTTCCTCGCCCCGGCGCACGAGTCTAAAACTGCATGGCACAAAGCTCCTGGTCTGTACGAGCATAAAAGGCAACATCAACGCTCCTGGTCTACACGAGCATAAAAGGCAACCCCAACGCTCCTTGCTTGCACGAGCTGAAACTGCAACACGGCACCAAATGCTCCTGGTCTGCACGAGTTGAAACTGCAAACGGCACCAAAAAAAAAAAAATGTATGTATTTGAACTACGTTACGACTTGATCTCTTCTTTAGAGGGGTACGTAGGCAGCTTGAATATTCAAAATTTCGAGTTCAGTCACATAAAAATAAAAAAAATAAACGTTTTATTAAAGAAAGTCAAATTTATTACAAAAGAAAAGAAAAAAAAATGAATACATGTGTTATTGTGTAAAAAAAAAAAAAAAAAAAAAAAAGGAAATAAGGAAATATATACATATATATATATATGTGTGTGTGTGTGTAGGCCCAGCAGTAACAAA